CTGCACTCCAGTCTGGGCGACAGAGTGAGACTCCAACTCAAAAAAAACCAACCAAACAAAAAAAACAATTAGGTCAGTCATGGTGGCTCAAACCTGTAATCCCAGCACTTTGGGAGGCCAAGAGGAGAGGATTGCCTGAGCCCGCAGGTTTGAGACCAGCCTGGGCAACATGGAGAGACCTCGTCTCTATAATAAATAAAAAAATTAGGAGGGTGTGGTAGTGTGTGCCTGTAGATCCATCTACTTGGAAGGCTGAGGTGGAAGGATTGCCAGAGCCCAGCAGGTCGACACTGGGGTGGCTGTGAGCGTGCCACTGCCTGCCAACCTGGGCAACGAAGTGAGACTCCAACTCAAAAAATAAAAATAAAAATAGCCGGGTGTGGTGGTGCACACCTGTAGTTCCAGCTACTTGGAACTACACTCACTTCCCCTGTCTCTAGGTGGGGAGAGGAACACAGGGAGAAAAGACCATGAGTATATTTCAGCTCTGATGCCACTGTCATCAACTGATGGACTGCAAGAGTATGGGAGGGACCCAAAGAAACCCCTGGAATTATCTTTTGGTGGGTGGTCCTTTGTAGTAAAGACTTCCCATCTCCACCCCCAGGTAAGGTTCTAGGAACCCACTGGCATCCGCGTACCAGCTAGCATTGTGTTGGACTTCAGTGAATTTTTTTTTTGGAGATTCTTTCAACACATTTGCCTATTACTTTTTTTTTTGAGTCGGAGTCTCACTCTGTCGCCCAGACTGGAGTGCAGTGGCCGCTCCCGGCCACCGCAGCCTCGACCCGCTGGGCTCTGGCGATCCTTCCGCCTCAGCCTTCCGAGTAGCCGGAATTACAGGCACGCGCTACCTGGGATTTATTGTAGAGATGAGGTCTCACCAAGTTGCCCTGGCGGGTCTCGAACCCACGGGCTTAGGCAATCCACTCACCTCAGCCTCCCAAAGCGCAGGATTACAGGTTGAGCCACCAAGCCCAGCACATTTGCCTATTTCATGATGGGTAATTTACGAGCGCACCTGCCCACACCATGCTAAGTATTCAGCAGTTTTTGTCCAAAAAACAGCATGACCCCCATACCCTTTTCTCCCTATTCACCCGATCTCACCCTGAGCAATTTTTGTTTGTTTCCTTGGATGAAAAAAAATCCTCAAAGGGAAACATTTTGCCGATGTGAAAGAGATGAAACAAAAAACAGCAGAAGCACTAAAAGACATCAAAACAGACAAGTTCAACTGTTTGAGCAGTGAAGGAAAGCATCTCGATAGCTGTCTTGCATCCAAAGGAGAGTACTTTGAAGGTGATGGAAGTTTAAGCATGTAAGAATAAATATGCAATTTTCTATAAAGTGGCTTTCTCTGTGTCTCTGGACTGGGTGTTTGAATTTTTTTGTTGTTTTTACCTGGAGTCTAACTCTGTCGCCCAGGCTGGAGTGCAGTGGCATGCTCCTGGCCACCTCAGCCTCGACCTGCTGGGTCAGGTGATCTTTCCGCCTCAGTCTTCCAAGTGGCCAGAACTACAGGCATGTGCTACCATGCCAGGCTAATTTTTTGATTAATTGTAGAGATGAGGTCTCACTATGTCTCCCAGGCTGGTCTCAAACCTGTGGGCTCAGGCAATCCTCTCGCCTCGGCCTCCCAAAGTGCTGGGATTATAGGCTTGAGCCACTGCGCCCAGCCTTTTCTCTGAATTTAATAATTTAATGCTCCTTGAATCTAACATTGACCTTCCTGGGTTTCCTCTCAGGTGGACATTTGACAGCCTCCACGAAGGGCCCCAGCTAAGTGGATTCTGTCACATGCTCATCTTCAGGAAACAGTGGGACAGGGGTCTCCCAGGGGATCCTCTCAAGTCAAACGGAGAAAGCCACTTTAACAGGAAGGGGCCACTGGAGTCCTCAGACTGGTCCAAGCTTGATGTCCCCAAGGCTGCAATGACCTTGGGCAAATCACTGCCTGCCTTTTTCAGTAAAACAGGGCTGTTATTCGTGTCCCACTGACACCTCCCACCCCAGCCGAGGTGCAAGGTTCCCATGAGACGGCTCACAAGCGTGATCCAAGGAGAGGCTTGCCTCGGGCACTCACCGCTCAGGTGGTATTCTGCGACATCCACGGCCATGATGCCCACTGCAGTGGCTGCGACTGGAAGGGAAAAGAGTGTCACTGGAAAGGGCTGCAGGGGTCACCAACCCTGACCTTATGTCCTGGTCTCCTTGGCACCTGTGTGCCTGTCACCTGGAGCTCATACCCAGGTTTTTTTTTGTTTGTTTGTTTTTGAGTTGGAGTCTCATTCTTTTACCCAGGCTAGATGGAGTGCAGTGGCAAGCTCATGGCCACCTCAGCCTCAACCTGCTGGGCTCAAGTGATCCTTCCGCCTCGGCCTTCCAAGTAGCTGGAACCACAGGCATGCACCACCATGCCCAACTTATTTTATTTTATTTATTTATTTATTTTGAGTTGGAGTCTCATTGTCACCCAGACTGGAGTGCAGTGGCCGCTCCCAGCCACCGCAGCCTCGACCTGCTGGGCTCCGGCGATCCTTCCACCTCAGCCTTCCGAGTAGCCAGCATTACAGGCATGCGCTACCACTCCTGACTAATTTTTTTGATTTATTGTAGAGATGAGGTCTCACCTGCCCAGGCGGGTCATGAACCCGCAGGCTCAGGCAATTATTTTATTTTTTAATTGTAGAGACGAGGTCTCGCCATGTTGCTCAGGCTGGTCTCTAATCCCTGAGCTCAGGTAATCCTCTTGCCTCTGTCTCCCAAAGTGCTGGGATTACAGGCGTGAGCCACTGCACCCGGCTAGTTTATACTCAGTTGTAAAGGTAGACCCAGAGGTAGCTTTTGTTTTTTAAATGGCATTTACAAAAAGAGTGTTTAAAGCCCTTTTCAAGCAAGCACTCTAAGACCTTGTTTCAGGGTTGCCAGGTAAAATATAGGCTGCCCAGTGGCATTTGCATTTCAGATAAATTTTAGCATAAGTATATCCCACATATTGCATGGTGGGATATACTTATACTAAAACAATCTATAGCTTATCTAAGTCTTCAGTGATGATACTGGGCATCCTGTATTTGTATTTGCCAAGTCTGGCAGCCCTACCTCACTTCCATCCTAACAACAAAAGACTGGAGACCAGCAGTGACTCTCAGTGACTCATTAGAGCGGGCGGCCTCCCTTCAAATGCTCCCGCTTAAATTGGGAAATAAAGGCTGCATTTCTGCAATATTCTATGAACAGTCCTTCCACTACTTGAGATGGTTTCTTCCCCATCGCACCTTCCACCTCCAGGTTTTATGAGCCACTGGAATCTGACTTTGTTGCTCATTGTTTTGTTATTATTGTTGCTAAGAAGTAAATTTGGTTCACAGATGTGTTCTACATGGTGGGGGTGGGGATTGGATTCTAGAAAAGGGAAGCTAGGATGAACTGTATTGATCTCAGTTCAAGGGAGCAGAAGGCCAGGATAACCCTCGCCCCAACCTCTGGGTTCCCCGGTAATTCAGTGAGGTGGTTACACACTGGTAAGCCTGCAGGCCAGGCAGGAAAGGGAAACAGGTGAGGGAAAGGTGAGGTAGAAATGGCAGAGGGCTTTGGCCTGGCCCAAGGACAGCTGTGTTTCTGTTCCAGCAAAAGCTCCACCCGGCATCACTGGATCTTCTGGCTCTTTAAAGAAAAGCCAGATACCTGAATTTTTATGTGCAGTTTCCTGATTTTAAATGTTGCCACCAATTTGCCAAAAAATGCAGACACCATTCAGGTGCAATAAAAGGCTCTTGGACCATTGCCTGTTGGTTTCCAACCCTTCGAAATTCGGTAGGTTCCCTTGGGAACAGAGGTCAAGTCAGAGGGTAAAGCTGAGAGCCTCGGCATTTTCAGGAATCCTGGGGTTCTCGTCAATCTGTGACTTTGGAGGCAAGAAGCTGGGGTGCTGTGACCAGTCAGGGTTATACAGCACATATGGGGGTACTGAAGGTCCTAGGGCAGGAGCCCCGGGAAGCGGGCAAGTAAGTGTGCACAGACAGCTACTGGCACTGCCCCCACTCCCGCGACATGATGCGTGTTGCCATGGTGACGGAAGGGCAGCACTAAGCCAGGAAGGGCTTCCCCAGTCCCGACTTGAGTGAATGCTCATTCCCGGGTCCCGGGCTGGAGGTTATGATAGTAGCCAACCTTGTCGGGTATGTCTTTGACACCAAGTGCAATTCTAAGCACTTTGCATACATATGACCTGACTTTTTTTCTTTTTTTTTTTGAGTCGGAGTCTCACTCTGTTGACCGGGCTGAAGGGCACACTCATGGCCACTGCAGCCTCAATCTGCTGGGCTCAGCTGATCCTTCCTCCTCAGCCTTCCAAGTGGCTAGAACTACAGGAGTGCACCACCACACCTGGCTGTTTTTGTCTTTTTTTTTTGAGTCAGTCTCACTCTGTCACCCAGGCTGGAGGGCAGAGTCACGCTCACAGCTACCTCAGTGTCGACCCACTGGGCTCAGGCAATCCTCCCGTCTCAGTCTTCCAAGTAGCCAGAACTACAGGCGTGTGCTACCACACCCGGCTAATTTTTTTTTTACTTTTTATTTTGGATATATTGTAGAGAAGAGGTCTCACCAACTTGCCCAGGCTGGTCTCGAACTCCTGGGCTCAGGCAATCCTCCCGCCTCTGCCTCCCAAAGTGCTGGGATTACAGGTGTGAACCACTGCATCTGGCTACATGACCTAATTTAATCCTCAGAATAGCCCCATGTGGTAGGTACTATTATTATCTCTGGTTTGCAGGCAGCAGTCCCAAGGCGTCATTTTTCTCAGGCCACAGCTAATAAACTGGTAAACCCGTGCTGGCTCCACGCTCCTAACCCCTGTGTCTTACCACAGGTAGGCATACGCTTTCTTTTTCTTTTTCTTTATTTTATTTTACTTTTGAGTCAGGGTCTCACTCTGTTGTCCAAGCCGGAGTGCAATGGCACAATCACGGCTCACCATAGCCTCGACCTCTTGGGCTCAGGCAATCCTTCCCAGCCTCCCCAGTAGCTGGGACTATGGGTGTGTGTCACCATGCCTGTCCAGTTTTTTTTAAATTTTTTTGCAGAGATGAGGTCTCACTATGTTGCCTAGGCTGGTCTTGTTCTCCTGGGCTCAAGCAATTCTCCTATCTCAGCCTCCCAAAGTGCTGGGATCACAGGCGTGATGCAGGCCATGGGTTCAAAAAAGTTTCCTGAGATTCTGCAGGTCACATGGGTCGCTGTGTACACACCCAAGGTAGCCCTAGCTCCTGGCAGAGGGGGCGTCTGGGCACACTAAAACACACACATTAACGAAACACACATCCCAGCCTGCTTCTGCCTTGCTGGGAAACCAATAATGCCACCGTCTTCCTCTTCTGCTCGCCTGTCAAAAGCTGACTTTGCAAGAGTGCTCTGCAGCACGGTGTTCATGACACAGGACAGAGCCTCAAAGGCATCAGACCTCTGGCTGTCGGGAGGTCCCCACCCCAAGTCTGGTCCAGTTCAGACCCCAGACCCCTGCGCTGCCGGCTCTTTTTCCCCTCCCCTGAACACGACACCCCTTCCCAGGGAGCTGTGATTTCAGGGAAGGCAGGCATGACTGCCTGGCACACTCCAGACAGAAGATTCAGTGCCCTATGAAGCCAGCACACATCTGCCTGTGGGGGAGGGAGGAGAGGACTGGGGAAGATGCTGGGGATCCTCCGGAGGGGTCAGTCTGAGCACAGGGCTTATAGTCAGCTGCATCCCGATCTGCTCCTTCGCTAGTTCAAGTGGCCTTGGGCAGTGTTCTTAGTCTCTCTGAGCCTCTGTAAAATGGGGCCCATGACTGTCCTGTGACAGTGCCAGCGGGGTGGAATGAGAAGGTATGTGTGGTTAGGCTTAGCAAATATTAGCTTCTGTGGTTAGTGGCCTGGTGGTGGTCCAGACAGGCCCTCTAACCCCTAATCTGCATTTTTTTTTTTGAGTTGGAGTCTCACTCTGTCGCCCAGACTGGAGTGCAGTGGCCGCTCCCGGCCACCGCAGC